AAGCGATTCTGAAGAACAAAGTAGGGAGCCTCACACTGCCTGACTTCAAATACATTACAGAGCCACAGTAATCAAAACAGCCTGGAACTGGTTTAATGACAGACACACAAACCAGTGCAACAGGACTGAAAATTTAGAAATAAATCCAAACACCTATGGGAACCCTGGTGATCAAGTGGTTAAGAGCTAAGGCTGCTAACCAAAAGGTCAGAAGTTCAAATCCACCAACTGCTCCTTGGAAACCCTATGGGACAGTTCTACCCTGTGCTACAGGGTCACTGTGAGTTGGAATCCACTGGACGACACACAACAACATGATCAATTGCTTTTTGACAAGGTAGCCAAATCCATTCGATGGGGAAGAAAGTCTCTTCAACAAACGATGCTGGCAAAACTGGATTTCCACATGCAGAAAAATAAAATCCATACCTGAACACCATACACAAAAACTTATTCAAAATGGATCAAGGACCTATATGTTAAATCTAAAACCATGAAGTTCTTGGAAGAAAATACAGGAGCAAAGCTTTAGAACCTAATTTTTTCAATGACAGATTATATGTATCAAACACAAGAACGAATCCACAAGCAACTGAAAACAAAACAGGTAACTGGAACTTCATAAAGGTTAATTATTTATGTTCACTGAAAGATTTTACAAGAGTAACCTACAGACTGGGAAAAAATCTTTGGGAATGTTATAAGTGATAAGGGTCTAATTAACATCTAAAATATATAGCAACCTTATGAGTCAGAATCGACTTGATGGCAACAAGTTTGGTTTGGTTTTCTACAACTTAACAAAAAAGACAAATAACTCAATCAAAAACTGCACAAACGACACGAACACACTTCATCAAAGACAATATTCGAAGGGCAGACACATGAAAAGATGTTCAACATCATTAGGCATCAGAGAAATGCAAATGAAAATCACAATGAGATACCATTTCACACGACTGACAAGATATAAACACACACACACACACACACACACACACACACACACAGAGGAAATAACAAGTGTCAGAGAGGATGTGAGAAACTGGAACCCCTTGATAGCCGGTGAAAATACAAAATGGTATAGCCATTGTGGAAAACAGTCGGGCAGATCTTAAAAAAACCAGTGGAAGAGCTGCCACATGCTCCAGAAATTCCACTCATACGTCTACACCCTAAGGATCTAATAAGAGTGGCAAGAAGAAACACATACACACCTATACTAACCGAAGGATCAGCAGTTCAAAACCACCAGTGGCTCTGTGAGAAAGATGTGGCAGTCTGCTTCCATAGAGATTTACAGCCCTGGAAACCCTATGAGGTCACTATGAGTCAGAATCGATTCATCGGCACTGGTTATGTTCACTGCAGCACTATTCACAATGTCAAAAAGATGGAAACAATCTAAGTGCCCATCAATGGATGAATGGAAAAGTAAAATGTGCTACATACATACAATAGAATACTACTCAGCGATAAAGAAAAATGAGTTCCCAAAACATCTTGGAACGTGGATGAACCTGGAAGACATCATGTTAAGGGAAATAATCACAAAAAAACAAATATTGTGTGTTCTTGCTTTTATATGACAGAACAGGTAAATAAACAGAAAATGTTGTTCGTCAGTGGTTACCAAGAATGAGGTGGTAGAGGGGATTCTCTCTCTAGATAGTTGTTCTTGTTGGGTGTCCTCCAGTCTGTTTCGACTCGCAGCGACCTTACGTACAACAGAACAAAACACTGCCTGGTTCTGCGCCATCCTCACGATCATTGCTGTGTTTGAGCTTATCGTTGCTGCCACTGTGTCAATCCACCTAGTTGTGGGTCTTTCTCTTTTTCACTGACCCTCTAACTTCACAAGGCATGATGTCCTTCTCCAGGGACTGATCCTTCCTGATAGGTCCAAAGTACGTGAGACAAAGTCTTGCCATCTTCGCTTCCAAGGGGCATTCTGGCTGTATTTCTTCCAAGATAAATTTGTTCGTTCTTCTCACAGTCCATGGTATATTCAATATTCTTCACTGACACCATAATTTAAAGGCATCAATTCTTCTTTGGTCTTCTTTATTCACTGTCCAGCTTTCACATGCATATGAGGCAATTAAAAATTCCATGACTTGGGTCAGGCACACCTTAGTCCTCAAAGTGACATCTTTGCTTTTGAACACCTGAAAGAGGTCTTCTGCAGCTGATCTGCCCAATGCGATACACCGTTTTGAGTTCCTGACTGCTGCTTCCGTGGGTGTTGATTGTGGATGCAAGTAAAACGAAATCTCTGACAACTTCAATCTTTTCTCCTTTTATCTGCTGCTTAGGTCCAGTTGTGAGGATTGTTTTCTTTATGTTGAGGTGTAATCCATACTGAAGGCTGTAGTTTTTGATCTTCATCAGTAACTGCTTCAAGTCCTTTTCCCTCTCAGTTAGCAAGCCTGTGTCATCTGCATATCTCAGGTTGTTAATGAGTCTTCCTCCAATCCTGATGCTGTGTACTTCTTCACTGGTTGTAGACACTTGTTATTTTGGTGCTGAGAAAGGTAACACTGAAGGAGGATTAAGTGTACACAGCTTGAGAAGGTTAATGGTATCAGTAAAATGTACACAAGGAAAAGAATCTGTTGGTAATCGTTATGGAATATATAATTTTGGAACAACAGCAAAATAAACCAAAAAATATGCACAGGTATATATGTATGTAGGCACATGTATGTGTAGCAACTAAACCAACCTACTGCCGTCGAGTCGATTCCCACTTACAGCAACCCTACAGGATGGAGCAAAACTGCCTCATAGGGTTTTCAAGGAGCGGCTGGTGGATTCACACTGCTCTGCTAACCTTTTGGTTAGCAGCCGGGCTCTTAACCACTGCACCACTAGGGCTCCGTATACATGTATAGATACGTATACGTGTGTATATATGCATATGCGTACATGCGTCTATGTGACAGTATACACGTATATAATAAAGCACATGGGGACACGGTTATGGATACTTCTTAGACTAATCAAACACCTCAGGGGTTGGATTTCTGGGTTTGAAGGATTAGGACCATAATCTCATGGGACAACTTAGTCAGTTGGCATAATATAGTTTACAAAGTTATGATCCACATCCTAGTTTGGTGAGTAGTGTCTGGGGTTTGAAAAGCTTGAGAGGAGCCATCTAAGATACAACTACTGGCTACACTCATCTGGAGCAAAAGAGAAAGGAAATCAAAGACTCAAAGAAGAAACTGTCTACCAGACAAACAGTTTACACGGATCATGGCCTCATCTACCCTGAGAACAGAACTAGACAGTGACCCACTACCTAACTGTTTTGATAAGGGCCACGAGAGATGGATCATGATAGAATGAGAGAAAAATGTAGAACAGAACCTCAAATTCCTTTAAAAAAAAAAAACAGATTTACTGGACTGGTTGAGACTTGATGATGACTGCTCAAGACTACCACCCTAAGATACTCTTCAAACCTTGAACTGAAACTAACCTGAGGTCACCGTGGAGTTAAATAAAACAGACTGGCTCACAAAATAATGACTATTACCCATAAATACTGTGCTCCTTTAAAAAAAATCACCTATGAGATGAAACAGTCAACAATTACTTCAAAACAAAGATGAGAATTTAAGGGGGCAGGGAAACTAGATTAATGAAAACGAAACAACCAGAATGGAAATAACGAGAATGTTCACCATTGTGAAGAATGTAACCAGTGTCACTGAAAAATCTGTGTAGAAATTGTGGAATGGGAACCTAAACTTCTATATAAACCTTCAACAAAAACAATATTATTTTAATAAGCAATGAACGTAACAGGCTTTTTTCCAATGTCTATATGTCCAGTTTATAAGAAAGACCAACTCTCCATGCAGTATGGAATAAAAACCGTAAGTGTGGCCCAAGATAAATCCCTCGGGTTGGGCCCAGCCAAGGGACAATTTAAAATGTTTTCTCTCACGCAAAGTTCCTGCTGCCAGGGACACTGACTCTGATTATCTTTGAAATTAAGATTCAGGGTAAATGGAAATATTTTGGAAAACGTGACCTGTCGCTTATCTCCATACTTAGCCTCTTTTCCCTCTTCTCCCAAAATAAAATAGTTTAAACAGAAAGCACTTAAAACAAGGAGTTTTATTCCTTGCTTGATTATAAGGCCCAAGGTAGTATACGGTTTGGCCACTAGGAGAAAGCCGGAACATGGGCTCTTATGGATGATAAAACTCAAGTAGCCCTTTCTAGTACTATCCTTTCACTTTTTTAAAAATAACTAACGGTTGTCCTGTCTGAGAAATTCAGGTGATTCCCCTTTGTGAAAGAAGGACCACTGCAGATTTTTGGGGCAAAGCTGAGGGGTCTTAGTGACTTACCAAGGAGCAAGGGTAGAACCCGGAGCCCATCTCTCCCACTGCAGGTTAGAGAGTGAAACATGTCCAAATCAACACATTCCAAATGAAGCAGTGGTCACAGCATTCCACAAGGTTACCCAAAAACCCAAACTGGGGAATGAATGCCTCATAATCAACCTGACTCTATTTAGGCTCAGATAATGTCCCTACCACCAGAGGACCTAACCCTGGACATGTGTACCAGGATGCAGGGCAGTGAACCTATTTATGATTCCAAAGAGGCTGGTCCTATTAAAGAGTTCCTGAAGGGTACTTCCTTACTCCATCCTTTGAGAGCTGTTTTGCTAAATTTCAAGTTCTGAAATATACCATACTTGAAAATTAGAAATGCAGGATCATTATGTCTATCTACTTAAGTATACTATACTTGAATAGGGAAAATCAGCAACCAACATAAACTGTAAATACAAAAGAATGTCTAAATTAATTCTTTTGAGTTTTAGTATTATCTATACAAAAACAAAATAATGCAGCAAGTCTACTCCTCAGGGAAGGCAATAGATTGTATAGTTATCTCCTTAACAGGGTAAAATCACTACCCCACAACTATACAATCTACTACCTCACTCCGATAGAGCAATCTTTTCTTCGGGAATGGAGAACACAATCTCTTTTGAAAGAAAATTCAACATAAAATTATCAGTATCAATCAAAATAAAATATACAGTTACTCTGACATAAAGAAATGAGACAAGAAAAAAATATCCTTACCCACATCCAGTCTACTTGCTAAAGATTTGTTTTTTTAATCTCTAGAAGAATAAACAATTAACCTGCACATTATAAAGAAATGTTGTACAACAACTATTTAACACAAGTTAATCTTAAATACTGTACAATTCATCATCGACTTTCAATGAGGCAGCCCAGATGCAGACTTTTCTATCACGTTAGGAAAGACAGTAGATTGTATAGTTATCTCCCAGTGGTGGGTGTGACCCTAAAACTATACAACCTACTACCTCATCCCGCAGTGAAGAGAACTTCAAGGATGAAGGTTGCAAAGGGGACCACCAGCTGAGCACCACAGGAAGGCTTTCTCCTTGGTAATCGTTGTTCCCCTGTGTGATTAAAGGAAAAAAAGTATTAGACCACTTATCTTGGGTGAAGGGTGAGACAGTACACAATACAGGAGAAACTAGCACAACCTGTTCAAGGAAAGGTCATGGAAGCCCCATAGACACATCCAAACTCCCTGAGGGACTGAATTGCTGGGCGGAGGGCTCTGGGGACCATGGTCTCGGGGAACATCTAGCGCAGTTGGCATGACACAGCTTATAAAGACAATGCTCTACATTCTACCTTGGTGAGTAGTGTCTGGGGTCTTAAAAGCCTGTGAGCGGCCATCTAAGATACTCCACTGGTCTCATCCCTTCGGGAGCAAGGGAGAATGAAGAGAACAGGATACAAGGAAAAGATCAGTCCGAAGGACTAATTGTCCACAGCTACCAAGGCCTCCACCGGACTGAGTCCAGTACAGCTAGATGGTGCCCGGCTACCACCACTGACTGCTCTGACCAGGATCACAACAGAGGATTCTGGACAGAGCTGGAGAAGGATGTAGAGCATAATTCTAACTCACAAAAAAAAGACCAGATTTACTGGCTTAAAGGAGACTGGAGAAACCTCGAGAGTATGGCCCCCAGACACCCTTTTAGCTCAGCGGTGAAGTTACCTCCGAGGTTCACTGTTCAGCCTGGGAGTGGACAGCCCCGTAAAACCGAATGAGAGTAACGAGGTACAGGAGTCCAGTGACAAGGGCCAGAAGGCAGAAGGGGACAAGGAAGAGGGTGATAGGGAACCCAAGGTTGAGTAAGGATATTGTTGATGTGTTGTGAGATTGTTAACCATTGTCATAGGGCAACATTTGTAGTAACTGTTAAATGAGAAACTATTTTGTTCTGTAAGCCTTCATCTTAAGTGAGAATAGCAGCACAATTGGAAGAGGGTAGTCAACGTCACTGAACTGTGCATGTAGAAATTTCTGAAACAGTGTATCTTTGGCTATGTGTATTTTCACCAATAAAAAAAAAGGGCTGAGAAGTTAGAGGGTTAATATGTTGTGGGTTGTTAACCAATGTCATAAAACAACATGTGTACTACTGTTTCATGAGAAACTATTTGTTCTGCAAGCCTTCACCTGAAGTACAATAAAATATAAAAACAAAACAAAATATATATTTAAAAAAAAAAAGTATTAGACCACTTTCATTCACTTCACCTCACTGAACATGAGGTTGAATGAAAACATTTTTACACAAACATCCCAAAAAATCAGTACTTTAAATTGTGAGTACATATATTATCTTGTACTTTCTTTTCCTATATTTGATTAATATTATTTTAAATGCTTGGTTATGTGAATCTACACCTAAAAGCATAAATTTATAAGATTCAGAAATAACCTATTTACCATAGCAACTACAAAGGAAGATTCATGAAATCACTTTTCTTTAGGAAACCAAAAATTAAATAAATTCATTGCCAAGAAACACAAGAGCTTCCAATGAAAACTAGTAATGTCAAAACCTAAAAATCCTGCACGTCATGCAGGATCCACGTTAAAGGTACTAATGTACAAAGGAATGACAGCTTTTCGTTATCAAGAAATACTGTTGTTTTTAATTGCTGTAGAGTCAATTCTGACTCATGGCGACCCCACGTGTGCAGAGTAGAACTGCTCCATAGGGGTTTTCAAGACTGTGACCTTTCAGAACCTGCCCACCAGGCCTGCCTTCTGACGCACCTCTGGGTGAGTTCAAACTGCCAACCTTTCGGCTAGTAGTGGAGTGTTTAATCCTTTGCGCCAAACAAGAACTCCTATCAGGAAATAAAGACAAAGAAAAACTAATTCTTAAAGTAACGTGGTCATTTATCCCATGCCAGCAAACACTAAGTCTTATTAACGGAACACCAAACATAACTGGATCTGAGTCAGAGCCAAGATACTTCCTTTAGTTAGAAAGGTACTATGGGGATCACACTTTGGACATGTTATCAGGAGGGACCAGTCCCTGGAGAAGGACGTCATGCTTGGTAAAGCAGACGGTCAGTGAAAAGAGGACAACCCTCAATGAGATGGACTGACACAGTAGCTGTAACAATGGGCTCAAGCACAATGATCGTGAGGATGGTGCAAGACTGGGCAGTATTTCATTCTGTTGTGCATGGGGTCACTACGCGTCAGAACCAACTTGACAACACCTAACAACGTAGGGATCAAAAGCAGGGACAAATATATTTAACTTCTTGGTACAATACTCTGAACTAAGAAACATTATCAGTTAAGTTTCATGATTAAAATATTAAAACGCAAATTAAGCTAAACCGCTTTAGTTTTAAAACTTCGACTTCATACTTAAGAGGTAGCTAGCTACTGGCGTAAACAGCTTGTACTCGACTAACCTAAGGGTTGCCAGTTTGAACGCATCCAGTGGTACCACGGACGAAAGGCCTGGTGATCTGCTCCCATTAAGATTACAGCCTAGAAAACCCAATGGAGCAGTTCTACTCTGTAACACATGGGGTCTCCATGAGCTGAAAACAACTCAATGGCAAAGGGATTTTTTGGACTATTAGGTTACTTTTTTTTTATGGTAAACTCTAAATTTAATATCCAAGAAACTTATATTGTAATGACTTAGTAACCAAAATACATAATCAAAAATACTATGACACAAATCAATGGAACACAATAGAGGGTGCAGAAATAAACCCGTACACCTATCATTTTCAACAAGGGTGCCAAGATAACTCAATGGAGAAAGAACAGTTTTTGCAATAAATATTACTGGGACAACTGGATAGCCACATGAAAAGAATGAATTCGGACCCTATCTCACATTATATATAAAAATAACCTAAGACAAATACTCTGATTTATAGAAAGGCAAAAGATTTTAATAGTTCTCCAAATACATGGCTCATAAGCATATGAAAAGATGCTCAACATCATTAGTCATTAGGAAAATGCAAATCAAAATAACAATGGGATACCACTTCACATCCAGTAGGATGGTTATAATCAAAAAGACCCTAGTGTTGGCCAAGATGTGTAGAAACTGGAATCCTCATACACTGCTGGAGAGAATCTAAAATGGTGCAGCTGCTTTGGAAAACTGCTTAGCAGTTCCTCAAAAAGTTAAACAGTAACTATATGACCCAGAAATTGACCTCCAGGTATATACTCACAAGAATTGAAAATAGGTGCTCACACAAAAACTTGAACACTAATGTTCATATCAGCATAACTCATAACTGCCAAAAAAGTGAAAACAACCCAAATGCCCATCAACTGGTGAATGGATAAACAAAATGTGGTATATTCACACAATGGAGTATTATTCAGCCATAAAAAGGAAGTACTGATACATGTTGCAACACTAATGAACTGTGCAAACATATTAAGGGAAAGAAAGACACAAAAGGTCACATGTTTTTATTCCATTCATAGAAAATTTCCAGAACAGGAAACTCCATAGGGACAAAAAGGACATTAGTGGTTGCCTTGGACTGGGGGCAGGGGACAGAGTGACTGCTAATAGGTATGGTGTTTCTTTTCAGGGTAATGAAAATGTTCTGCAATTGTTGTTGTTAGGTGCCATCAAGTTGGTTCTGACTCATAGTGACCTTATGTACAAAAGAACAAAACACTGCCCAGGCCTGCACCATCTTCACAATCATTGCCATGCTTGAGCCCATCATTGCAGCCACTGTGTCAATCCATTTCATAGAGGGTCTTCCTCTCTTTTGCTGACCCTCGACTTTACCTTCTCCAGGAACTGGTCCCTTCTGACAACATGTTCAAAGTAGTATCTCACTTCTAAGAAGCATTCTGATTGTACTTCTAAGATAGATTTGTTCGTTCTTCTGGCAGTCCATGGTATATTCAATATTCTTCGCCAACACCATAATTCAAAGGCATCAATTCTTCTTTAATCTTCTTTATTCATTATTCAGCTTTCGCATGCACGAGATGGCTGAAAATACCATGGCTTGGGTCAGACGCACCTTAGTCCTCAAAGTGACATCTTTGCTTTTTAACACTTGAAACAGATCTTTTGCAGCAGATCTGCCCAATGCCAACAAGGTGTTTGATTTCATGACTGCTTCTTCCATGGGGGTTGAGCACGGATCCAAGTAAAATGAAATCCTTGACAACTTCAGTATTTCCTCAGTTTATGATGTTGTTTATTGGTCCAGTTGTAAGGATTTTTACGTTGAAGTGTAATCCATACCGAAGACTGTAGTCTTTGAACTTTATCAGTAAGTTCTTCAAGTCCTCCTCACTTTCTGAAAGCGAGGTTGTGTCATCTGCATATCAGAGGCTGTTTATATGAGTCTTCCTCCAATCCTGATGCCCCATTCTTCTTCATCGAGTCCAGCTTCTCAGATTATTTGCTCAGCATACAGACTGAATAAGTATGGTGAGAGGATACAACCCTGATGCACACCCTTCCTGATTTTAAACCACGCAGTATTCCCTTGTTCTGTATGAATGACTGCCTCTTGATCTATGTATAGGTGCCACGTGACCACAATTAAGTGTTCTGGAATTTCCATTCTTCGCAATGTTATCCATAACTTGTTATGATCCAGAGTCAAATACCTTTGCATAGTCCACAAACACAGGTAAACATCTTTCTGGTATTCTCTGCTTTCAGCCAAGATCCTCTGACATCAGCAATGATATCCCTTGTTCCGTGTCCTCTTCTGAATCCAGCTTGAATTTCTGGCAGTTCCCTGTCGATGTACTGCTGCAACCACTCTAATGATCTTCAGCAGAATTTTACTTGAGTGTGATATTAATGATATTGTTCAGTAATTTCCACATTCTCTTGGATCACCTTTCTTTAGAATGGGCACAAACATGGATCTCTTCCAGTGGTTTACCAGGTAGCTGTCTTTCAAATTTCTTGGCATAGATGTGTCAGCACTTCCAGCACTGTATCTATTTGTTGAAACATCTCAGTTGGTGTTTCATCAATTCCTGTTGTTTTTTTTTTTTTTTTTTTTTTGCCATTCCCTTCAGTCTTCAGTGCAGCTTGAACCTCTTCCTTCAGTACCATTGGTTCTTGATCATGTTACTGCCTGAAATGGCTGAACATCGACCAATTCTTTTTGGTACAATGACTCTGTATATTCCTTTCATCTTCTTTTGATGCTTCCTGTGTCGTTCAATAGTTTGCCCATAGAATCCACTGATATTACAACTCGAGGCTTGAATTTTTTTCTTCAGTTTTTTCAGCTTGAGAAATGCTGAGCATGTTCTTCCCTTTTGGTTTCCTAACTCCAGGTCTTTGCACATTTTATTATAATAATTCTAGAATTAGATTGTTCTGGAATTAGATAATGGTAATGGTTGCACAAAGCAGCCCTGATGTCAAAATGGTTAAGCGCTTGATTGCTAACCAAAAGGTGTATGATTTGAACCCACCAGAGGCTCCACAGAAGAGAAGACCCAGCAATCTGCTCCCATAAATATTACAGCCTAGGAAACCCTATGAGGCAGCTTGTATTCTGTCATATAGGGTCACTATAAGTCAGAATTGGCTCAACAGCACACAACAACAATGGTTGTACCACTCTTTGAATACTAAAAACCACTAATTATATACTTTAAAAGGATGAAATTTATGGCATGTGAATTATAGCTCAATAAAAATTGAATTAAAATAAGACAGCACACCAAAAAGACAAACCACTGTATGAACTAATGATTAACTAAGCAAGGGCAAACAGTTCATTGAATAACTACCGTAATTAACTTCTACGATTAAACACTTTTATAAACACACTAATAGGAAATCTATAGCAGACTGTAAGCTTTTAAAGATAGGGCTCATTTTTCTTCTGATTTGTGGACAAAAAAGGTATAACGAAGCCTAAGCAACCTATGACTAGCATCTGAACTTCACTCTAGCTCCTGATCATAACGCATCCAAATCTACTTTCCGAGAAATTCTGCCTCAATTTCAGAAGGGATGATCCTTAAAGCTAAGAAGTTTATTCACCACTTAACCTCCAGCACTTTTAATACCTCAATAAAGAGGTATGTAATACTACAGAAGCCACACGAATGAGATCTAAGTCTTAGTGAAGTTCTGCTGTTTAATAATTAAAATTTACTTCTTTTAAAAAAATACCTGAGGCAGGGATTGGTGGTGTGACAGGAATAGGAATCTAGTCAGCCAAAGTTCAAATCCTGGCCCTTCTCATTCAATGCCACTGAAACCTTGTATAAGTAATTTAATTTTCCTAGTTTCTCCGCTTTCCTAGTTGTAACATCAATACACTGGACTAAATGATCTACAAGCAAAAAGGTAAAGATTTACTACAGAACCAACATATTTAATGCCTTATATGTCAAGGCTTTTACCTATATCATCTCTTTAATAGTCTCATCATCTCTATTTCACATCGATGGAAACTAGTGAAACTAATTTGCCTCAATTCCAGGAGACAGCAATGGATTCTCAAATTTACTATTTGAGAATTCTACAAGGCTAGATGATTCAAGGCATGAACATGTAGACAAATGTCTTTGAAAAGAAAACCTGAAGTTAAGCATTTATAAGCCGAACTTCCCCCAACTCTCACCCCGACCAATTTTCTCTTCTAAAACATTTCTGAATTCTCACCAAACATTCTAAAATGTATTCACTTTTCAATCTTATTGAGTGTAGCATGTTTACTTTGTACTATTTCTCGATTTGACGTTATAAATAGGTAACATATTGCTAGATAGCAATCGGGCAATTTACATACCAAAAGCTATTAAATGCTCAAAATTTTTTAAGTATATACAAAAATAATTCTAAAGTTGTATTTAGGGGGAACAGATATCTATAAACAGATATGTAGTATGTTTATAGCAACACTATTCACTGCATGGGAGCAGTGGTGGTTCAGTAGAACTCCTGCATCCCATTCCTGGCCAGTGCACCTCATGCACAGCCAACACTCATCCCTCAGTGGAGGCTTGCGTGTTGCAATGATGCTGAACAGGTTTCAGCGGAGCTTCTAGACTAAGATGGACTAGGAAGAAAGGCCAGCGATCTACTTCCGAAAATCAGGCAATGAAAACCGTATGAATCACAACGGTCTGATCTGCAACTGATCACGGGAATGGCGCAAGACTAGGCAGCATCTCATTACAATGTGCACGGGGATCTGCATGGGGTCGCCATGAGTCATGGGCTGACTTGATAGTAGCTAACAATTAACATTCACAGGTACAATGGTTTATCTTTCTACAACCCACAGTAGGAAAAATATTTCACATTTCTAATAGTACTCATACATAAATCTACACATACATAAATACTAATATTATTCCCAAATCAATACTAACCTTTACTCTAGTTTTTTCTATTTTATTATACACAAGTTGATTTTATGACCCATCAATGGCTCCCAGCCTGCGATTTAAAAAACACTGATTAGAGCGAATATTGGAAACTAAAACCTAACAGGTGAGGAGAGATAAAGATCAATTAAGTAAGCTATCACAAACAGAACACAATCCATATACTAGAATTTACAGATTATGAGGACCCATGGAAATGTTCATTAAGAAATATTATTAAGTAAAAATATTAACATATACCCTTATCACAACTATAAAATGCTTGTATACTGGGAAAGAAAAAGAAGCAGGGTTCTAGCTAGTGTATTTTCAGTCCTTGAGATTTTTTCCCCTAAAAAGTATACTTCAGAATCAGACACAGGTTTGAATCCTGGCTCCCCGTTTACTGTGTTTAGACATACAATGTAATCTCTGGACCCTACTTTCTTTAATCTATAAATATCAGAGAAATCTTACAATGCTGTTAAGAGGGATTAGAAATAAAATACAAAAACATCAAGTACAACGTCAGGCATAATGGATGCGCAGTATCTTGTAGCTGCAACTGTCAATATTAGATTTTAAGTAAAACATTCTTAGGCAAGATGCTGTTGGCTAAAATGATCTGAATTTGATCTTTACGGAGTTACCTGATGAGTCTAAAAAAAGATACTTGATATACTTTTATATCCACTTTCTATCCTTACATCTCAATCTATACCTTGAACTACCTCCCCCCAATTAAAAACTCTGACAATTTAAAGTCATAATTCAACTTGGGCAAAACACATAGAAAAAACTTATTGCAGCTGAACACGGCAGTATAGGAAAGGGGTTAAGGGCAATGGCTTTAGGGACTAGCACAGCTAGTTTGTTCTTGGGCAAGTTACTTAACCTGAGGTTTTGGTTTCTCATCTCCAACTGGGAACTATAACATCAGATTGTTTTGAGGATTGGGAATACATGTAAAGCATTTTACCGACTCGTAAATACTCAACAAATGGCAACTATTATTCTTAATAAATTAAATCAATTTGAGAAATTGTCCTTTTACCCTGAGAGTAATTTCACCTTCCCAGATGTACTTGACACAAAGATACTTAACCAGCAATTTAAAACATGGTATGAAGAGGCAAATCTAATTAATTATGAATAAACTTGTTTGCCTGTATCTCCACCAAGCTTGGTTCCAGAAATAAGTCTATTAACATTCACATTCCTCGTAAATATTTTAAAATCCACGTATATTTTAATGACAATGTATCATATCAGATCAGAGTTTTTAAGAATACTTGCAGGACAGCCAACACCTCAGAGTAAGGATTCTTAATCTGCATCCATAATGGGCTTCAGGGAGGGTTTCAGTAATCCCTGGTAATTATATATACATTTTTTCTCATCGTTTATAGCTTTATCATATTTTCATTTTAACCAGAAGAAGGCTGTCATGGTCCCAAAAATAAATCTGAATATATAGTGGGAAGGCTATCTATCAATAAATATGTATACAAATTTACATATGTATATGGGCACATATATGCACATGAATAAGCATGTAAATACAGAAGATATATAAATTTCACCTTTCCATTTGTTAATTTTACTAAGTTTATATTTTAAACAATAGCTTCCAGATTCTTTAAATATCCTAAACTTAGTCCAGAAGCAGAGATACTCTACCTTCTATATAATTAATACCTATTTAAGAGCTTGAACTTCGTAGCCAAAATGTTTTTGAAGAAGTTTATTTGCGCCTCACGAGCAGCCACTACTTGTCAGTGGAGGCCTGCGTGTTGCTATGATGAACACATTTCAGTGGAGTTTCCAGACTAAATGGATTAAGAAAGGCCTGGCCATCCACTCCAGAAAATCAGCCAATGAGAACCCTATGGATCACAGGGTTTGATCGGCAACCAATCATGGCGATGGTGCAGGACAGGGAGCATTTAGTTCTGTTGTGGGTGGGGTCACCATGAGTCAGGGCCAATTTGATGCTGGTTAATGACAATACCATATTAATTTACACACACCTATAAAAAAAATCTGAGAAATTTTTATTTTTAAAAACCTTTATTGACCTTAAAGTTGCAATTCGGTCAAACTTCCATGAAATATTTCTTTCAGTCTCATCATTTAGTTTCACTTGCTGGTAATCAAACATACCAAAAATAGAATACTGCCAGTTAACAGATTTCCTTCAATCTCAAATATGCAGTTGAATGACAATGAAATTATTTTCTGGCAATGCCGGCTGAATATTAAGTCATTCTCATTAAGCAAAGTCTCCAACAGTATTTTGCTTTCTTTGATACAGCACATGCGATAGTTTAGCGATGGATTACCCAATCAATGTAATCCGTGTGCAACTGACAAGATAATGTTGAAGTTTTTAAGACTTTTAATAAGTTTCCCCAATGAAGATAAACCTAATTGTAGAGTAAGGTATCGATTTTTTACTCTACCAAACATTGCACTAAGCCTGAGACTCATAAGTTTTAAATAACTACTAGGCCATGTTGCCCCAAAGTCGCATTTCCTTTCATTGACTCCTAGTCACGCAGGAGGTATTTAAGATGCTCTAATTTTTTTTTTTTTTTTTTAAGGTAAGTGACTGATGTCAAGTATTCCTTTTAGAATTTCCAATGCAACCTGCTAATTCTGGGCCAACCTTCCTGCAATGTCAAGGGCATTCTCAGCTACCTCTGCATATCTAACAGTAAATTCTGCTGCAAACCCTATAATGCATGCAAATATTAAAGGTGAGGCACAAAGTATTCCAGCTGGGTGATTTGCTCTGCTTAACAGTCATTATACAAATCACTTCTCAATCCTTTAAAATCTTCTGCCTTCCTATGCCCCATTATACTGATATGTTCCTTGGGATTAAAAAACCACTGTACAGTCTACACAGTCACCAAGCCAAGAAAAGATAGATTCTAGTTATTTAAGCTAGATTCCAGCCAGTTTACTATAACTATATTCTTAGTAGAAAATCCATAGACTATACTTAACAACACTGAATTCAGCCAAGAAAAGGCCCCCTCGTGGCACTAGGCAATCGTGTATCTGACCAAATAAAAACTGGGAGGTGGGGGAGCTCCCAGGTGAACAGAAAAACAGTAAAACTTAAATATTGACTCAAAGCAGAAAAGGATACTAATTATTTAATAATATGCTCCCGAATCGTCTTCACATTAATATCTGTCATTTTAAAACAGATCATCTAAAATTTCTTAAAATAGCCCTACAGCAAAAATAATGCTTGACAATAACGTGGTTAAGATGGCCACTGCAATGGGCCTCAGAATACTTAAATTAAATCTTAGATCTAGAAAGCACCTATGAAATCATCTTCTATAATTTCCTTACACTTGAGATGAGGCTGTGGAGAGACAAGGAACACTTCTGACAGATTAATTTGAAATGGCAAATATTCAACTAGAGAAATCGAAGTTTTGAAAATCGGCCAGACAATACTCTAGAACTGCAGCATCCATTATAGTATACATTACACGTCACCATTGAGCACTTGAAATGTAAGTAGTCCAAAGACGTGCTGAAAGTATAAAATACACTCTGGATTTCAAAGACTTAATACAAAAAAAAAAAGAAATGGCTCAGTTTATCTAGTTACTTAACGAAGTCCACTCGTAAATGACTGTGCAATGTTTAGAACTTCGCACAGGCAAAGAACATGTAGTGACCAGGCCTCCTTTACTCCAGTCCTCTGGTCACATGAGGTTGTGCTGCTGACAACTCATTACTGGGGATCCAGATTCTCCTACTCTCATCTAAACATGGAAAAATCATTCACAATTAATATTCTGAGATAGAAAGATCCTTTACTATCCGAGTAAAAGCTTCTCAGGCTATTTAAAATATTAAGTGATTAAGACACACACTGGTCATTAATGGCAAATTTACTTTCCAAATCCCGAAAATTAGAGTGAGAGGAACATATTCCACCAAATATAAGTAAATAGGGCTACTTTTAATACTTGAAAGAGTAATGCTATAAATGAGAAAAATATCCTTCACAAGGACTGTTTTTCAAACTTTTTTTACACTGTCCCTCAGAAAAAGATATTTTATATAAATATGTGCGCTTGGGTTTTTTTGGATACATGCATACAACAGTTTCAAAAGTTTCATGCAAAACACTAATATTTTCTATTTTATTTTTTTAAAAATTCTGATCTCCACTCCAAATCCCAAACCCACTGCCAGTGAGTTGATTGTAACTCATAGCAACCCTACGGAAAAGGTAGAACTGCCCCTAGTTTCCAAACCTGTATATCTTTACAAAAGCAGACTGTCACATCTTTCTCCAGTGGATTGGCTGGTGGGTTCGAATCACCCACCTTTCAGTTAGCAGCAAGCACTCTAACCACTGCATCACCAGGACTCCTGATCACCATCCACTGACCCAATCATGAGGGAGGACCTGCAGTTTAAAACACTGATTTAGAGGTCTTAACACTGAGCTATTCCCACTATTAGTAAATCTATTAACTATTCAAATAAAAGGTATACAGTATTTAGTGTGCTGTACCCTAAGCCAAGAAATTAGTTAATGGTAACATCAATTAAATGCCCTTAAGGAATAACACTTGAGACCAACTTGAATAGCATTGGGTTTCTTCACTCCATAAAGCTCAATGATTTACAAACTTTCTCTTTTTATAACCAGATGTTTTGTTTCCCTCCATGTTTCAGACTTGCAAAATTTGAGTCTCAAATTCAACACAGCTTCAAACCAGTGGTGGTGGGGGAGACCCACTGCCTGTTTTAATATTTTTTGTTAAAAAAAAAAAACTTCTGCCTGTCACTGCAATGTAACTTCCCCCAAAGGGTTAATTTTTTTCTCCCACATCAACTATAACGTCTGTACCAAAGTGACCACTTTTTAAAATGCTACTTGATAACTGAATTTAGACAATCTCAAGACATTTGTCTACCTGTCTAAAAGTTTTTAAGTTTCAAACTTTTCAGCAACAGGGTAAATCAAACATCCTCACAAAACCCACTCAAACATCCAACTTGTTACTTTCTTACACACACACACAACCCCTGAAATGAACTGCCATACAGCAGAAAAATGTAGATATAAACAATTATTTGCTAATTTACATATAAATTTAGAATTTCACATTAATTTTTCTTACACTGAATGATTATCAAGCCAATATAAGACTTCTATAAATGCAGGAGAATGCTAAAGGATATTTTAACTTTAAAAACTGAGTGCCAAAAAAACCCACAAAAACTGAATGCCAAGAAAGCAGTATAATAAATAAATACTAATAAAGTAAAGTTAAAAAAGAAAACTCATCTTGACTTACTTCAAAAATTTAAGTCACTATCTCAATACCTTTTTCCTCTCTGCCAACCCTCTCCCCAAGTTGACAAAAATTCATTTTAAAAAAATCGAAGAGGTGAAAAACACGTAAAATACACACCATCACCTCTGACACAGAAGAAAGGGGACCAGGACCTACTGTAAAAAGTTGGAAAGACCGAAGGCTTTGCTGGCCAAGGACATAAAGGTTATCACATTCCTCACACTACAGCACGCCAGAGTTTATTAGCTAGCCTTTTGGAAGGAGCTCGAAGACTGCAGCCCTGAGTCAAAAGGCTAGGGCAGTTTCCGATGACACCAAGTAACAATCTGCCAGCACCATCCCCCTGGATATGATTTCCTCCTCCTCTCCCGCCACTCCCCTCCCCCTCGCCAAGGACGGCTGCGGCAGTGCTCCAACCGCAGCAGCTGCTCCCACGATGGGAGGATGCACTGAGCCAAGCGGATTAAGGAAAAGGAGCCAGCCCCAGGGCTCTCCCGCCTCCCCTGCCCCTCCCCTCCCCCGCACTTCCTACCTTCCCTCCTTCATCCCAACCCCCAAGGCCAAGGTCTCCCCGGCCCACAAACCTGATAGCGGATATGACGTCAGAAAAAAGCTGGCAGCACCCACAGCCAGTAACGCTACAACGGGAGGAAGCAAAGGCCAATAGGTACCGGTTCGGAGGGCGGGACTTCCACTCTCCTCAAGTTTGATTGAAGAAGTGGGGGGAGGGGCGAGGGGGTAAGGAATGTGAAGAATGACCCCCTCCCCCCGCCTGGTCTCTAATGAGTTGGGCGGGAAGTGAAGGGGGTTGGGGACCGGCCCAAATGCGGCCACGCGGCACCCATCCCCCTCCCCACCCCCCGCACCGCCCTAACGGACTCCGAACCCGCGATTCCAGCCGCGGCCTCCGCACGCGGTTTGGCCGGCGCAGGGCTAGCGCGCCGACTCGACCTCTGGGGCGAAACCTAGGCCCGCCAGGAGTGGGGAACCGGGCGGTTCCCAAAGGAGTACCATGCCGCAAGCAAGTTCGGACCTGGCCCACAGCTCTCCGCCTTCCTAACCCGCTGCAGGTGATACGAAGGAAAAAAAAATGGCGACCGCCCTCTGCTCGTCTTCCCGCCTCCCATACCCACCTCAGGCTCAGGAAAAGGCCTCCGCCCGCCGCCGCAGCCGGGAGTGGGCTTAGCCCCCGCTTGCGCCCGCAGCTTCCCGCCGGCGCCGCCCGGGAGAGGAGCTGCGGCGAGGACCCGGATGGAGGTGTTGGGCGAGCGCCGCCGCGGCAGCCTGAGGGAAGGCACCGCGGGGAGCAGAGGAGGCATGGGCGGGGGCGGGGCGCGCGAGGAGCTCACAGCTCGCGCGCCCGTCCATTGGCGGAGTCGGGCGATTGACACATGTCTCTCCCCTTGGCCTCCGCCGAGCTGGGTTCTCCCAAATCCCACTGGCGGGAAACAGATGGGCCCGCCCCCTCCGGAGCCCGAGCGCTCCCGGTCCAGCAAGTGGAGGCGGGCCACCGGGGAAGAGGCTGGCGTGGAGCCGCCCTCGCTGGGTCCGCTGCCCGTTTCCTATTGGAGGGCTGAGGAGCGTGGCGGCGGCGGCGGCCGTCCTCCTGGCACCGCCCTCCGCGGCGAGCGGTCCCGCCGCGCGTGATGGACAGGCCGCCAGTCACTACGCCGCCGAGAGTGCAGCTCCGGGAGGAGTCGGGCTAGCAGGGGCCGGGCCCGCTGCTTCGCCCTATTCCGGCTTTCAGGGAGGATTTTTCAGTCTGCGTGCCCCGCAAAGGCCCAGCTCTGCCCCACTTAGGAGGCCTGAGCAAGGCCAGTTCCCTTCCTCTATGCCTCAGTTTGCTCATCCGTAAAATTATCAGCCCTATGATAAATAACTTTATCCCGTTAAGTTTCCTTTTCTTTTTTTCCAGCCGTCTGTCCCATGTTTTGAAGATTTTGTCTACAAATGGTTTTCAAAGCAATCCTTAATTTTCCTATTTTAAAATTCATCTAAAACATTAAACAGCCTCTGTTTTATATCCATCCATCCCCGTTATGACTTTCCTGAAACGAAGACTGCAGTAATCACTAGTTAAGGTCTTTGACGGTTCTAAGTCTATGATTGGGAGCCCCAAGACCTGGGCTCTAGCTGTTCGTTTACTAATTCACTGTAGCTGTCATTTTAAGAAAAACTTGAGTCCTCATCTGTAATAGAACTATACTTTAAACAGCAGTTTACAATTTACCCAGTGCGTCTGATCTCAGATGGTACTACCGGGTATCAGCTATCCTTGAAGCACTCATGTTAGGAGGTGTAATCAATGCCAACATAGTTAAGAAGACGGACTGTTTATTTTGTGGGCTAAAGTGAACAAGAATCCCTTAACAGAGAAGGGAAAACTTGAGCTTGGGCCTGAGGGATGGTTAAGATTTAGGGAAGATTTCCTGAGGCTGGGAGGAAGATGTGTTCAAAAAGGACAGAGCAGGCCCACAGAGGAGTTAAGGGAAAGAAGTTTGGCGTTAGGCTGTATAGGGCATGGAACCCTCAAAGGCAACAAATGAATGTGTTATTCATGTCTATCCCAAGTACTTAGCACACTCGTAGTGTGGTAGCCTGGAAATGTTCAAAAATGTTATTAAATGAAATCTGATAAAGATGATGTAAGCTGAGGTGGGAAGAAAGTAGTTAACAAGGAGCTCAGTTAGGGTACTGTTCGGTATTACAGTTTAGAGGTGATATGGGCCCCACCTATATAGTAGAGACTGCTGGGTCATTGTGTTGTAGAATAGATTTTATAGCAACAGGCCCTAGAGCACTATGAGCCTTTCTCACGTTTTATTCACATATTTATCTGAAAGTTCTGAGTAAGTTTGGAAAAGTACGTATGAAATGCATTACCCTCTGCTTTCCCATCCAAGCTTTGTTTGCTACCCTTGAAGGCCAACTAAATGACCCCAAGTGGAATTCATAAAGGAAAAGATTAATAGATTTGACCGTATAAGTTAAAACTCAATTTAAAAAAATTAAAGGACAAATGACAAATTGGAAAAATAATTTAGCAAAATCTATAGGAAACAAAAGATTAATTAGCTAGCTGTGGTACCAGACTGCTGAGTTTGATTTTTAGGTCTGCCTTTTCCCAGCTATGTAACATTGGACAAATTACTTATCCTTTCTGTACCTCAGGTTCTTCACCTATAAAATGGAGATTATTAATAATACTTATTTTATACTATAGTATTAGCTTGTGAGGATTAAATGAGTAAATATCTCAAGTACTAAAATAGTGGTTGGTACATATAAGCGTTATGAAAGTGTTTGGTAATATATTGTCCTTAATATAAAGTTGTTGTTGTTTTTTTTCCCAAATCAATAGGGAAAAAGTGAACAGCTGTATTAAAAATATGGACAAAGGATATGAACTGGCAATTCACAAAAGAAGAAATAAAAACGGCCAATAAATGGGAAAAGATGTTTACTCTCATTAGCAAACAAATAAATACAAATTTTAAAAGCAATGAAACATTTCTCACATCTTAGATTGATCAGTGGCATTGTCGAAGAAAACACTAGTGGCAGGAGTATAAATTGACACAGCTCTCGAGAGGGCGATTTGGCAGTATGAATGAGAATCTTAAAAAAGTACCTATCTTTTAACCCATCAGTTAGCCACTTCTAGGAATTTATGCCTAGAAAATAACAGGACAAATGGTACATCTGCAGGGCTGTTCATCATCTTGTTTATAACCAATAAACCAACCAGTTGCTGTTGAGTCAATTCCCACTCAGGCGACCCCATTTGTTACAGAGTAGAACTGCTCCATAGGGTTTTCTTGGCTGTAATCTTTCAGAAGCAAATTACCAGGCCTTTCTTCTGTGGAGCCACTGGGTGGGTTTGAACCACCAATGCTTAGGTTAGCCAATTGCAAACCACCTGCACCACCAGAGCCCCTTCATATTGTTTATACTAGCCTCAAATTAGAACTATCTCCCAGTTCATAGGTGATTGCTTAAAAAATTTATGCTACAAACATTCCATAAAAAACTATAATGATAATGTAAATCTGTATTTGTTGATATGGGAAGGTTATCAGGGCATATAATTAAGTGAGAAATAAGGTTACAAAATAATGTGTATAGTATGATCCCATAAATCTTAAACAATGCTTAGCACTGGTGGTGGAATTATCTATGATCTTTATGTCCCTTATACTGGTAGTTCCTGACTTACAACGTAATGGAGTTATGAAGAACCGTGCTTACGGCTGTCTGTTTTTGGTTTTTTTGTACATCTTACGGTGAGTGGTTAATAATATGTACTACATACAACGTTGTAGCACGTAATTTGCTGATTCTCATATATTCACTCACATATATTCAATGTTATGGTTTATAAAGATACTGATAATAAAAGTCAATATTAATGAAGACAAAAAAAATGAGGTATTCACTTATGTTGGAACCAACTTACATTGGAGTTGTTGGAACAGAAACCCTGGTAAGTTGGGGTGTTACTCATACATTTCTGAATTCTTGGCAGTGAGTATGTATTACTTTCATAATCAGGAAAAAATATACAAATAAAAGCTATGCCAGAGACTGTTAGTTGTTCCCCAGTAACCATTGTCTCTTTTTTTCTATGGTATATGTTGTTGTTGTTAGATGCCATCAAGTCAGTTCCGACCCATACGACCTTATATACAACAGAACAAAACACGGCCTGGTCCTGCGCCATCCTCACAATCATTGCTAGGTTTGAGCCCATTATCGCAGCTACCTGATTTTTAGGTGATCACAGAACTACTTAGGTGCAGCCATGTGACTAAGTTCTGGCTAGTGAGATGTGAGTGTAAGGATGGGAGAGGTTTCTGTGTGCTGCCTGTTGAGGGAAGGGCTTGCCCTTTTCCTTTTTCTGACTTCCAGCTGCTTGGAATAGGAGGGTTGGAGAGAGCCACCATGGCCCTCGAGCTGTGGCAGAGCAACAACATGGATCAAACCTAAGTCCCCTGGCAGCTTCGCAGGGCATTTTCCACACAAGCTTGGACTTCAAGTGAGAGAGACATAACTTCCACTTCATTTAAATCTCTGAAATGTGGAGATCTTCTCACAGGAAGCTAGCCTTGTCAGTGGGCAAGCATAAGCAGTGTGCTGTCATTCTACATGTGGGTTCTTAGAGGATAGGGTGGCATTTTGTGGAAAGAGCACACAGCTTTTGGAATCAAACAGACAGATGAAAGCCTCAGCTCCCCTGTTTTCTAGGGGGTACCCTTGGGCAAATAAGCCATACTTAATTACATCATACATAGGAAAGTGATTTTGAGCTACTGAATGATAAACAATACCCGGTTAGCATTAAAGATTATTATTTGAAGTGGTAGCAAGACGCAGGAAGAAGACCGTGCATTATAATCCACGAGCAGGGCTATACAGAATGACCTATCTGAAAATCAGCCCATATTATTCCTTAAGTTCATCTCCCTGGCCTGGCCCCAGCCTTGCTCTCCACTCATCACTCTGCTGTAGTGCTACAGCTTTCTGTAGTGGTACAGCCATCACTGTAGCCTCTACCTGGACTGCTAGTCCCCATCTTCCCCCGGCTGGTCCTTGTCATTCAGGTGGCACCTTCAACCTTTTCTCCCTGACCACCAAGCCTAAGTCCCCATATCACTATTTCACCACTCTATTTTTATAACATTTACAACCTTTTAGTGCTGTCTGAACTCATCTTGCTTATTTGTTTTTGTAGTTGTTCTATCTTCAAGAAAGCAAGGATCTTGTCTGGCATTTTCAGTACTGTATCTCAATATCCTAGAACAAAGCCCAGCATACACAGTAGGTGCTCAATAAATATCCCTTGACATATAGAATTAAAAGTGAAGAGACTAGAATTGGTGTGACTGTATATGTAAAAAAAAAAAAAAAAAAAAAAGCTGAACTGGCAAATGTTGTGTTTTATATATATTTTTTACAACAATTTTTTTAAAAGTGAAGAGAGTAGGACAGATAGTGGAGACTGAGCTCAAAGGATATATACAGATGAGAAGCATGAGAAGGAGCCCAGGTCATGAGGGTCACAACCCAACATAAAGTATGAATAAGCAGACAGAGGAAGAAGCAGCTGGTTGGGACCAGGAAGAGAATTGTGCAGAGGTGCTGAGTCATGAGCATACTCACAAACTCCTGCAGCTGAGGTTCCTAGAGTAGCCAAGCCCCAAACAATAACCAAACATCAGTGTCCATGAGGCCTTGCCATTTCCTGAGCTCCACTGCTCAATTTCTGCACCTCTCTATGTGCAGCCTTATAATAGAACCCTCCCTCTACTTTT